ATATTTACCTATGTATGTATTTACCCCTGAAGGACATAGACCCGAGAAGTTGATACTATATCCAAGAGGAGTGGTACTCAGATGTGGGACTTACACGTAAATATTTAAAGGTGCTTACGTATTCAGATATTATTTAGTAACCCATTACCACATTAGAGGGCGGAAATATAGCGCTGATCGCGTTGAAATTTTCCACGAGGTTCTAGTTATCGCCAAGGACAACGCAAATAACTTTTGATGATGGTCAGATTATACTTATGAAGTTGACCGAATACTTAATTTTTTGTGTTTTTTTGAGTCGATGCCAATAATAAGCCAAAAATCACAACACAACCCACGGTGAAGGGAATCTGGAAAATTAACTAGGAGCGCTGTACTGAATATGAGTGATATTCGGAAAATATGTCAGTGTAAGGAAGAGATGCTGTTGACCTCTAATCGGGCTAGAGGGAGCAAATATCACGAAATATTGCCCAAGGTCGGAATACATATCAGCAGAAAGTTAGTGTTCCGTGGTAGTTGTGTAGGGTATCGTATGGTCGGCCCCGTCCGACTATATTGCTCCACTCACTGGTTTAATAATATTTTTTAAAGGCGAGATTTGTTCGTAAAATGTTATTAGAGGGCTCACATAGGGGTGAATTAAAAAAATTAGTAATATTTGTTAAGGACTATATTTATCAAAGAAAGTTTTCGAAGGACGTCAGAAAGACGTGGATTAAAAAAAATATTTTTTTCAAGGACTACAGACAGGGTGGATTTTTATACCCTTCACCACACTGTGGTACAGGGCATTATGTCATTGTGCATATGTTTGTAACAGGCAACACATGGTTCCTTTTGAGAATATCCATAGAATCACTTTCTAAGTCGATTTATGCATGTTCGCCCGTCCGTCCGTCTGTCCATGTTATATTGTAAACAAAGTACAGGTCGCATTTATGATTCGAATTGGATGAAATTTGGCACAACTCATTTATTTGGTCCAAGGACGAACCCTACTAAAATTGGGAAAAATCGGTTCAGATTTAGATACAGCTCCCATATATATTTTCGTCCGATTTAAGGTAAATGGTGCACCAAAGTCCCTAGATATTTTTCGATTTACACGAAATTTAGCACAGCGTACTGAATTAAGCCTGGAATGATGTGTGCTAAGGTTCATGAAAATCAGGTCAGATTTAGATATAGCTCCCATATATATTTTCGTCCGATTTAAGGTAAATGGTGCACTAAAGTCCCTAAATATCATTCGATTTGCACGAAATTTGGCACAGCGTACTGAACTAAGCCTAGAATGATGTGTGCCAAGTTTCGTGAAAATCGGTTCATATTTAGATATAGTTCGCATATATATTTTCGTCCGATTTAAGGTGTATGGTGCACCAAAGTCGTTATATATCTTTCGATTTGCACGAAATTTGGCATAACGTACTGAATTAAGTCTAGAACGATGTGTGTTAAATTTCGTGAACATCGGTTCAGATTTAGCTATAGCTCTCATATATATTTTCGTCCGATTTAATGTAAATGGTGTACCAAAGACTCAACATATCTTTCGATTTGCACGAAATTTGGCACAGCGTACTGAATTAAGCCTAGAATGATGTGTGCTAAGTTTCGTGGAAATCGGTTCAGATTTAGATATAGCTCCCATATATATTTTTGGCCTAAATATCTTTCGATTTGCACGAAATTTGGCACAGGATACTGAATTAAGCCTAGAATGATGTGTGCTAAGTTTAGTGGAAATCGGTTCAGATTTAGATATAGCTCCCATATATAGTTTCGTCCGATTTTCAGTAAATGGTGCACAAAAGCTCCAAAATATGGCCGATTGACATAAAATTTTGCACAACGTGCTGAAGTTAGTATAACCTACTGTGTGAAAAGTTTCGTTGAAATTGGTTCAGATTTTTTATGTTTAAGTTTAGTGGAAATCGGTTCAGATTTAGATATAGCTCCCATATATAGTTTCGTCCGATTTTCAGTAAATGGTGCACAAAAGCTCCAAAATATGGCCGATTGACATAAAATTTTGCACAACGTGCTGAAGTTAGTATAACCTACTGTGTGAAAAGTTTCGTTGAAATTGGTTCAGATTTTTTATTTTAATATTTTTTCAAGGTCCATATTATTCATTATTATTTTTATACCCTACACAACTATGTTGTCAGGGTATTATAGCTTTGTACAGCCCCAAGAGTTTTTTATCGCCGCGAAATATTGGTCCTAGACCCACCTTCAAGTATACTGATCGTCATATCTCGACTAGCTGAGTCGATCTAGACATGTGTGTCCGTCCGTCCGTCTGTCCGTCTGTCCATGTTAAATTGTAAACAAAGTACAGGTCGCATTTATGATTCGAATTGGATGAAATTTGGCGTAGCTCATTTATTTGGCTCAAGGACGAATCTTATTGAAATTAGGAAAAATCGGTTCAGATTTAGATATAGCTCCCATATATATATATATATATATATATATTCGTCCGATTTAATGTAAATGGTGCACCAAAGCCCCTATATATCTTTCGATTTGCACGAAATTTAGCACAGCGTACTGAATTAAGCCTAGAATGATGTGTGCTAAGTTTCGTGGAAATCGGTTCAGATTTAGATATAGCTCCCATATATATTTTTGGCCTAAATATCTTTCGATTTGCACGAAATTTGGCACAGGATACTGAATTAAGCCTAGAATGATGTGTGCTAAGTTTAGTGGAAATCAGGTCAGATTTAGATATAGCTCCCATATATATTTTCGTCCGATTTAAGGTAAATGGTGCACTAAAGTCCCTAAATATCATTCGATTTGCACGAAATTTGGCACAGCGTACTGAACTAAGCCTAGAATGATGTGTGCCAAGTTTCGTGAAAATCGGTTCGGATTTAAATATAGCTCCCATATATATTTTCGTCCGATTTATGGTAAGTGGTGCACCAAAGTCCTAAATATCAATTGATTTGCACGAAATTTGGCACAGCTTACTGAATTGAGTCCAGAAAGATGTGTGTTAAGTTTGTGAAAATCGATTCAGATTTAGATATAGCTTCCATATATAGTTTCGTCCGATTTTCAGTAAATGGTGCACAAAAGCTCCAAAATATGGCCGATTGACACAAAATTTTGCACAACGTGCTGAAGTTAGTATAACCTACTGTGTGAAAAGTTTCGTTGAAATCGGTTCAGATTTTTTATTTTAATATTTTTTCAAGGTCCATATTATTCATTATTATTTTTATACCCTACACAACTATGTTGTCAGGGTATTATAGCTTTGTGCAGCCCCAAAAGTTTGTAACGCCGCGAAATATTGGTCCTAGACCCACCTTCAAGTATACCGATCGTCATATCTCGACTAGCTGAGTTGATCTAGACATGTGTGTCCGTCCGTCCGTCCGTCTGTCCATTATAATTTGTAAACACGATACAGGCCACAGTTATGGGCCAATCTTCACGAAATTTTGCATGTAGAATGGGTTCTGGCCAATGAAGACCCCTATTGTTTTTGGAAACGATCGGTTAATATTTAGGGGATGAAATGGACCAAAAACTTTATTTTTGTCGGTTTTTCTGGTCGCTCCAGAGGCCGCAATTACGGCCCAAACACTGCGAATTTTTGTGTGGAGAAGGGGATCGGGCCAAAGAAAAAGCATGCCTGTTTTGATACAGATCGGTCTATATTTAGCGGGTCAAATGGACCCTGACTTTTGTGTGAAAAATGGCAAAATTTGTATTCTATGGCGTATATATTTGCCCCTGGAGGACCTAGACGCGAGAAGTTGATAGTATGTTCAAAAGGAGTAGTTGACCTTTAAATTGGTACTAATTATATGGTCGTATGTCCTCAGATGTGGGAGTTACACTTAAATATTTACAGGTGCTTACGTACTGAGATATTATTTAGTAACCCATTATCACACTAGAAGGCGGAAATATAGCTCTGATCGCTTTGAAATTTTCCATGAGGATCCAAGTATGGTCAACGACAACGCTTATAATATTCGGTGATGATGATATAGTAATATTGGGATGAAGTGGACCGAAAACATAATTTTTTGTGTTTTTTTTTTTCGAGTCGATCTATAGGCCACAATTGAAAGCCGAACAGCACAAAACAACCCACGGTGAAGGGAATCTGGACGAGTAATTAGACCACTAGTCAGTCAAGAGGCTGCAAATATCGCGAAATATTGCCCAAGCTCAGAATATAGACCTACAGAAAGTTATGTTTTCGTGGAAGTTGTGTAGGGTATCATATGGTCGGCCCCGTCCGACTATACTGCTCCGCTCACTGGTTTTTAATTGTTAATATTTTTGAAAATTTTTTGTTAAAATATGTTTTCAAGGACCACTTGCTGGGGGGTTTTATAAATATTTTAAAAAGATCTACGCATGGGGTTATTGCTCAAAGAAAGTCCTTGAAAAAATATTTTTTTTTAACTCCTTGAAAAATCATTTTATAAAAAAACCCATGTCTGTTATTAATCCTTAAAAAATTAATTTAAAATTACGATGTTTTCTTAAAATATTTTCTCTAGGACTTACAAATCCTTGAGAAAGTAATCTTAAAAAAATCCATGCTCTATCCATAGTTAAGAAAAAAATATATATTTTGAGAAAATTCCCGATTAATAAAAGTCCTTGAAATAATTTATTTCCACGTCTCTGTTTTTTGTAATTTCAATTAATGCTCACATTGCACCGACTCAATAAAAATGCACACAAAATAATAATAGTAATGACTTGAAATGCTTTTAAGATAATGTCCATTTGTTACAAAACAAACACACGAACAACAACAACAAAAATTAAGAAAAAAAAAATTGAAACTGGATAGAAAATGTATCCAAGTGAGACGAAGCAAATAAACATACATTGCAAACACATGTCTTTTGTTACAATCTTAGATTGAAGTTAACTTTAAATTAACTACGAAATGGACAGACAAAAAACCAACAACAACAATCAAACAAACAAAATAAATAAATACATACCATTAGCATTTGCTGATTTTATTCTGCAATTGGAAAAAAAGAGAGACAAACAAAATTAATAAATTATTTCCTATACAATTTAATTGGGTTTAAGCTTAAGAAAAACAAAATAACAACAACAACATGAATGACTCCACACTTATATTTAATGGCAAATAACATTAAATCGTAAATTTCCATTTCCGTTCCCATAAATTCTTTGGACTTCGATTGGGGTTATTTCAAATGCAGCCATCTTCATTGTTAGTTTTCTATGGTTAGATTTTCTAATTTGGGTTGTTAACGGTCAGTCGACCGATTTGGTTGGGTAAGAACAGGAAAACTTTAATTTGCAACGATGTTTTTACTGTAATGATCGGCATGAATTACTTAACTTCTTCTTAGTTAAATTTTTTTTCGGGACAAGGTGTATGCTTTCTAATTTTTTTTTTGCATAGCAGATAATTTTTTTATCTAAAAATCGGATTTTATATAGTTTCCTAATCTCTAATAGTAAATTAGCTTACGTGGACTTTTTTCCCAATATTTAATTCTTGTATACACACATCCCATCAATTAGCTTTAATTAAATTAAATCACCATTTTGGCACAAAAAAAAATTGTTTGTCTACGACAGTCTCAAATTACACAGCGACGACCTTGTTAGCATCCCAGCATTTTGGCTGTAATTAAACAATAGTGTTAAATGATGACATTTAACATTAATGAGATTAGTGACAAAATAAAACTAATTAAACTAATTATATACAACAAAAACAAATGAAAAAATTGACAAAATTCTAGGCAAATTTTGTTGGGTGTTTATACATGTAGTTTAACAAAATATTAAGTGGAAATTTAAAACATTAAAAGTATAAAATGACAGGGTGGAAATGGCGTATTTATTTGTTATGATTATAGCCTAATTTTTCAATCGCTGTAATATGGGTTCTCAGGGGATAAAATACATCCGAACAGATACATTTAGATTTAGGTCCATATTTGTATACAACAAACATATAAATCTCCTGTCTGATTTGAACGTAGTAGGATAATTTATAATAATAATTTATAATTTAAACCGAAGTAGGTTGATATTTGGGGTTCTCAAAGGATGGAAGGTTCTCAGGCAATTTTCAAAATAGGTTTCTGTTTTGACATAACGACCATGTTAGGTCCTACACGTATCACATTCATATGTGGCTGAAAATTTGTATTTCGGATACCTTCCGTTATATATTTACCAATATTTGGGCATTGCACCGATATAAAGACTCTATAAGTATTTTTAGGTCATAGTTACATTTTTTCAGAAATGGTTACCGTTTGACATTGACAAATTTACACTATGACCAGTTTAGGAGAAAACCAGTGAGCGGAGCAGTATAGTCGGACGGGGCCGATCATGTGATACCCTACACAACTTTCACGAAAATCTAACTTTGTGTGGTTCTATATTCTGATCTTGGGCAATATTTGTACTCTCTTGACCTTCACCGTGGGTTGTGTTGTTATGTTCGGCTTCCAATTGTGACCTATATATGAACTCAAAAAAAATTAGAGGTCAACAGCACTTCTTACACACATTTTTCCCAATATTACTAATATTCAGTATACCACCGGAAATTACTTGTCGCTATTCCTTGACCTTGCGTTGTGATTTTCGCCTTGTAATTGTGGTCTTTAGATCGACTCGAAAAAAACACAAAAAAAAAAAATAGTTTTCGGTCCACTTCATCCCAAAATTATTATCTGATTATCACCGACAATTATAGCACCTGTAAATATTTCAAAGCGCTATACTCCCACATCCGAGTGACATTGTAATTGGTGTCAATATCTGAATACGTAGACACTGTAAATTTTTACGTATATTTACATACATCCGAAATATACGTATATATCCTTCAGGAGTAAATATATACGCTATAGATTACACATTTTGTAATTTTTCACACAAAAGTCAGGGTGCATTTAACCCGCTAAATATTGTCTGATCTTTAACATGTGAAAATTCGCGATCCCCTTCTCCATATAAAAAATCGCGATGTTTGGGCCATAATTGCGGCCTCTGGAGCGACCAGAATAGCCGACAAAAATTAAATATTTGGTCCATTTCATCCCCTAAATATTAACCGATCTTTTCCAAAAACAATAGGGGTCTTTATTGGCCAGAACCTATCCTACATGCAAAATTTCTTGAAGATTGGTCCATAACTGTGGTCTATATTGTGTTTACAAATTATAATGGACAGACGGACGGACACACTGTTTATATCGACTCAGCTCGAGATATGACGATCAGTATACTTAAAAGTGGGTCTAGGACCAATATTTCGCGGCGTTACAAAATCTTGTGGCTGCACAAAACTATAATACCCTGACAACGTAGTCGTGTAGGGTATAACCGTATGCTCCACATTGATGTAATTTATCAGTTCGGACGAAAATAAATGCCTTCACCGAAAATGTTGTGACAGAACATTTATTCTATAAGCCGAGCTTAAAAAAGATTTCCAGACGCGTCGGTCTTGGGCGTAGCTCTTCCAATGTGAAAGACCATATTCCGAATTGTTGTCATACTCATGATCTTTCCATCGAATTCGTAGCGTTCCCCTTCTGTGTGAGCCATCAATTGGTTCGCTTTCTTCGTCCATTCTTACAACATGTCCTAGCCAATGTAGTCACTGCAGGGAAGACAAATCATTCGAGATAGGTCGATATTTGTACTTAGGCTTAATATACAATTTTCCGAATTTTGTAGTTTCCCTGTTTTTTTAATCGGTGTGCCTAATTTCCTCAAAACATTAAAAAACATCATCTAGCGAACAATTTCACATATAAAGGTTCCAACCGATTTGAGGCATGGACACCACAAGTAAAAATGCCATAAAGTTTCTGTGGTGGTGAAATTTTTTTTATTCGTAATTACTTCCACTAAGGTTGAAAAAATATTTAAAATTCTTCAAAAATACCGAAAATGGTTCCGAATATTTACAAAAAAAAGTTATGTCAAAACATGTCTCCATGTCGAATTTTTATTATACCCGTCACCACACTGTGGTACAGGGTATTATGTCTTCGTGCATATGTTTGTAGCAGGCCAAAGGAAACGAGATAGACCCATGGTTCCTTTTGGGAATATGCATAGAATCACTTTCTGAGTCAATTTATGCATGTCCGTCCGTCCGTCCGTCCGTCCGTCTGTTGATGTTAAATTGTAAACAAAGTAGAGGTCACATTTTTATCCGATTTGGATGAAATTTGGTACAACTTATTTATTTGGCACAAGGACGAACCCTATCGAAATCCTAAGAAAATCGGTTCAAATTTACATATAGATCCCATATATATTTTCTTCCGATTTTATGTAAATGGTGTACCAAAGTCCTTATATATCCTTCGATTTGCACGAAATTTGGCACAGCGTAAGAAATTAAGTCTAGAATGGTGTTTGAAAAGTTTCGTAGAAATCGGTTCAGATTTAGATATAGCTCCCATATATATTTTCGTCCGTTTTAATGTAAATTGTGCACTAAAGAACCAAAGTTTGTCCGATTGGCACACAATTTTGAACAATGTACTGAAATTAATTTAAATTAATCAAGTTTGCAAGTTTCCTTGAGTTCGGTTCAGATTTAGATATAGCACCACATATATGCATATATTTTCGTCCGAATTTAGGTTAATTGTGTACCAAATTCCTAATCTTTGTCCGATTTACTGGGATACATATGTAGAATATACCCGATGGGGCTCAGCCCGACTTTACTATTTTCCTTACTGTTTTCTTTTCTGTTTTTATACCCTACACAACTATGTTTTTAGGGTATTATAGCTTTGTATAACCCCAAGAGTTTGTAAAGCCTTGAAATATTGGTCGTAGGCCCACCTTATAATATACCAGAATCATCATATCTGGACTAGCTGAGCTAGATATGTCCCTCCGTCCGTCATTACAATTTATAAACACGATGAAGTCCACAGTTATGGACCAGTCGCCATGGATTTCTGCATGTATAATGGGTTCTGACCAAAGAATTTTTTTGAAATGGGTTTTTTTATTTTTGAGGCTGTTTTTCCCGAACATCACGATCGGACAGGCAATTATACCCTGAACCCATACCAACGAAAATTTAACTTTCTGTGGATGTATATTTTGAGCCTGGGCAATATTTCGCAATATTTGCACACTCTACAGCAATTACAAATCGACAGCTCCTCTTTCTCGTTGATATGTATTTATGGGAACGGAACGAAAATCTTTACACACACACATTTTCATCATCGTCAAATTAAAACAATTCCATCCAACTTACCTTCTACATCTTAGAACTACGACCATAACAATAGCACCTATTAGAGCTGATAGAATTGAGACTACAATCAGTGTAAAGGCCCAGCCAATTTCTCCAGATGCATCTGTAAAAATATATAAAAAACAACAACAACAATTAACATAAAAATTAGCATTTAATATAAATAGTGACGTATATACAAACATATTATTTGAAACAATGAATTTATTTAATAGAATTGTTATGGTAATGCGATTTAATTTTTTTTATTTTTAAGATAAGAACAAAAAAAAAAACTCAGTTTATGCATTTTAATGGTTGGCCTATTGTTTTCGAGTCTCCGAAATGGAGATATGAAAAAATAAAATAATAAAATCACTGTATCGCTGCCAGCAAACCAACTAACCTAACAGCCAAATGGAAATCTTATACCAATCGAATGGCATAAAAATTTAAAGTTATGCTTGGGGTTTTTAAAGGCGTACATTTGAAATCCCTGCTAGAACAAAAGAAACCGTAAATAGTTACATTTATGAGCAGTTTTGTGATTTGAAATTTGAGTTTATTTTTTTACAATGTTTAAGATAGAGTGTAGATAAATTTTGAGTATGGAAATGATTTTCAATATGTTTACTATTTTTTAAGAACTGGTTTATAAGAAAGTTATGAACCTTATTAAACTATTATATATCATATATGGCTCAATAAAAATTTAATTAAAAGATTTTACCTTGACATATTTGCATTCAAAGTTATTGACATATTCAAGTTATTATAACTAACAAAAATTTAACAGGAATCCAATATTAACCAGTAGTAACGTCGGACTGTACCGTCTATATTGATACCCTTCACCACTTTGGGTATATTGTACATATGTATCCAAACATTTTCATGTCAATGTTCCATCGAAGGAACATTGAATACGCCATATCTAAATCTGAACCAATTTCAACGAGACTTGCCCGAGAATAATTTTTATTAACATCAGTACATTGTACAAAATTATGTGCCAATCGCACAAACTTTAGGTCTTTAGTGCGCAATTTACATAAAATAAATCTGAACCGATTTTCACGAAACTTATCAGACATAATTCTAGTCTTAAAATTTCGTGCAAATACATAATAACAGAGGAAATATTTGTATAAAATCAGAGGAAAATATATATCGAAGCTATAACTAAATCTGAACCGATTTTTTCGAAACTTGGCACACATCATTCTAGACTTCATTCAACATGCTATGCCAAATATCGTGCAAATCGAAGGATATATAGGAACTTTGATACACCATTTACATTAAATCGTACGAAACTATATATGGGAGTTATATCTAAATCTGAACCGATTTTCTCGAAACTTGGCACACATCATTCTGGGCCTTATTATGTGCTCTGTGCCAAATTTCATGCAAATCGAAAGATATATATGTACTTTGGTGCCCCATTTACCTTAAATCGGACAAAATATATATGGGAGCCACATCTAAATCTCAACCGATTTTCTTGAATTTCATATGGTTCGTCCAAATAAGTGACTTGCGCAAAATTTCATCCAAATCAGATTATAAATGCAACCTGTACTTTGTTTACAATTTAACAGAGAGACAGACGTAGGGTAGGACATGCATAATTCGCCTTCGAAAGTGATTCTATGCATATTCTCAAAAGGAACCATGTGTCCATCTCGTATCCTTTTGCCTGTTAAAAACATATGCACAAAGACATAATACCTAGTACCACAGTGTGGTGAAGGGTATATAAATCACAGAAAGATTGGTGGACGAAATGCCGCTAAAACGTGAAATGTGTGCAGAGCTTCATATGTAAAATAAGTCAAAACATGGACGCATAATATTGGTCCTTAAGTATACCGATCGCAATATCTCCACTAGCTGCGTTGATCTAGCCATGTGTGCCCGTCCGTCTGTCCATTATAATTTGTATACACGATACAGACGCAGTTCTTTTGCTCCATTTCATCCCGGATTAAATTGTCTGTTTTTCTGGCCGCTCTAGAGGCCACAATTATGTTCCGAACCCCACGAAATTTTACTCCTGGGAGAGAATCTGACAAAAACACGATGGTTTTGATGAAGATCGGTCAATATTTAGCGGGTCAAATGGACCCAGACATTTGTGTGAAAATTTCTATTCTATGGTGAATATATTTACTCCTGAAGGACATATACCCGAGAAGTTGGTAGTATATCCTAGAGGAGTTGTTGACCTTTAAATTATTACCAATAGTATTGTTGTATGTACTCGGATGTTGGAGTTATACGTAAACATTTAAAGGTGTCTATGTGTTATGATATTGTTTAGTATTACTATTAGCCCACTAGAGGGCGGAAATGTCGCTCTGATCGCTTTGAAATAATTATAATTTTCGTTTATGTTGAGATGATATATAGGGGGGTGCAATTAACCGAAAACATTATTTTAGTCGGATTTTCTTCTCGCTCCATAGGCAATTATTATATGCAGAACATCACATATTTTACACGGTGAAGGGGATCTGACCAAATACTTAGATAACAGTTTAGATGATGATCGGTCAATATCGAATATTCATGTCAACTAAAACCTTCTGCGTAATGTGACCAAATTTATATTTTATGGTGTATATATTCAATTCAGGAAAACAAGATTTGGAAAATATGTCAGGGTTAGAAAGTGGAGCCTTTGACCTATAATCGGTCAAGAGGGTGCAAATATCGCGAAATATTGCCAGATTCAGAATATAGAATGTTAGATTTTCGTGGTCGGCAACTCCTTCATATAGAAACAGGTGTTCAAAAAAGACACATCCGCAATTTTTTACAATGAAAGCACACATATTTAATTTTTCCACTGTAAAAAAATTGCGGATGTGTCTTTTTTTGAACACCAGTCTATATATGAAGGATTTGCCAGATCGAAACAAAGTTTAACATGTGTTCACAACAGAGATCGAAGTTTTCTAAACACTTAATTTTTTTTCTGTTTATACCGCGCTTTTTGTCCCAGGCTAAGAACTTTCTGAACCGTCCTCGTATATCTATATTATCCAAGGACGACAATTATTACTACTCCGGTAAAGATTTGCAAGTTACATGTTTAGAATTCAATTTGGTAATGGTAGGGTCGTGAGAGTTCCCTTTGAATAATTTCATTCTGGATTTTTTTTCAACCACTTTTTCAATCGAATATGTGAGTTCTGAATACTGTTAAAAACGTTATTAATTAAGTTAATAAACACGATATTTTGCACGTTGTAGGGTATTATAGCTTTGTGCAGCCCCATCCGTCTGTCCATTATAAATTGTAAACACGATATTTTGCATGTAGGATGGGTTTGGCCCAATGAAGACCCCTATTGTTTTTGGTAGAGATCGGTTAATATTTAGGTGATGAAATGGACCAAATACTTAATTTTTGTCGATTTTTGTGGTCGCTCCAGAGGCCGCAATTAGGCCCAAACATCTCGACATGGATACATGGAGAATGGGATTGGGCCAAAGAATAAGCATGCCTATTTTGATAAAGATTGGTCAATATTTAGTGGGTCAAATGGACCCTGACTTTTGTGTGAAAAATTACAAAATTTGTATTCTATAGCGTATATATTTACTCCTGAAGGACATAGAGCCGAGGAGTTGATAGTATATCCAAAGGAGTTGTTGACCTTTAAACTGATGCCAATTATATTGTCGTATGTACTCGGATGCGGGAGTTACATTTAAATATTTACAGGTGTTTATGTATTCAGATATTATTTAGTAAACTATAACCCCACTAGAGGGCGGAAATGTAGCGCTGATCGCTTTGAAATGTTTCATGAGGTTCTAGTTATGGTCAAGGACAATGCCTATAATTTTCGGTGATGATCGGATAATAATATTGGAATGAAGTGGACCGAAAACGTAATTTTTTTGTGTTTTTTCAGGTTGATCTACAGGCCACAAAAGAGAATCTGGACAAGTGCAGCCCTCGTCTACTGAATATTAGAAATATTGGTTGACATCTAGTCGGTCTAGAGGGTGCAAATATCGCGAAATATTGTCCAAGCTCTGAATATAGAACCATAGAAGTTAGATTTTCGTCGAAGTTGTGTAGGGTATCATATGGTCGGCCCCGTCCGACTATACTGCTCCGCTCACTTGTTTTTAACGGCATTTCATATAGAAACACAAAGTACATCTCCATATTTTCAAAATTACTCATTGCAACAGGTGCTTCACACCAATTTGTTCTATTTAAATTACAGACCTTTCGCGCGCACACACACATTTTTGTATTGTCATGTTCACACAAATATTTGTAGGTTATAATTTAACAGCAAATGGAAATGTGTAGCACTCAGTGGCGGTTGGCGTAGTAAGCCATTATTATCCCAGCGATTTTTGTTTGATTATTTCGGCATGAATGGGATCAACACAAATTATCCGACGTCATTTACGACGATTTTAGCATATAATTATACACATTTTAGTTTTATTCAAATTACCAAACAAAATGAAATAATTTAAGCCCCCGTTTTAGTTCCACAGCTCGAGTGCGGTGTTCATCGTCTGTCTCTCTGTCTGTCTGCCTCTCATTGTTCAAAACTAATGGCTTGAATTAAATTTTAAGTTCATTTGTAACAATGAGGCCAACACGAAAAAAAGAGGTGCTCATTATACGAATATTATTAGTGTATAATTAACAACAAATAACACACATAAATATTCTGTTTTGTTCGCTGTTTGTTTTTGCCAAATCATCGTTGAAACTACGAAATGACTTGTGTATTTCTGGGGAGATACCAAAAGAAATAGAGGGAAGAATGTTGAGTGCGTAATAATACAAAGTTTCCTGCTTACCCCCAAAATAAGTAAAGTTTTTGTTTTTAGGAAAGGAAAAGAGGAAACAACTCTTAAGGTGTGGGAAAAACTTGTACACCTTTTGTTGAACAAGTTGTGGAAACAAACTATTTGGCAAATCATCGCGTAAATGAGGAAGTTTTCAAGAGGATCGGAAGTTGTTGTGTTTGTTAGTTTGTATTTATATTTGTCTATATGTATGTATATAACCTTTACAATATATATTTAACTAAATTATAAATATTTTATTTTGAGTGTGAAGACGTGACCCATGTTTTA